ATACATACATACATACATACATACATACATACATACATACATACATACATACATACATACATACATACATACATACATACATACATACATACATACATACATACATACATACATACATACATACATACATACATACATACATACATACATACATACATACATACATACATACATACATACATACATACATACATACATACATATACATACATACATACATACATACATACATACATACATACATACATACATACATACATACATACATACATACATACATACATACATACATACATACATACATACATACATACATACATACATACATACATACATACATACATACATACATACATACATACATACATACATACATACATACATACATACATACATACATACATACATACATACATACATACATACATACATACATACATACATACATACATACATACATACATACATACATACATACATACATACATACATACATACATACATACATACATACATACATACATACATACATACATACATACATACATACATACATACATACATACATACATACATACATACATACATACATACATACATACATACATACATACATACATACATACATACATACATACATACATACATACATACATACATACATACATACATACATACATACATACATACATACATACATACATACATACATACATACATACATACATACATACATACATACATACATACATACATACATACATACATACATACATACATACATACATACATACATACATACATACATACATACATACATACATACATACATACATACATACATACATACATACATACATACATACATACATACATACATACATACATACATACATACATACATACATACATACATACATACATACATACATACATACATACATACATACATACATACATACATACATACATACATACATACATACATACATACATACATACATACATACATACATACATACATACATACATACATACATACATACATACATACATACATACATACATACATACATACATACATACATACATACATACATACATACATACATACATACATACATACATACATACATACATACATACATACATACATACATACATACATACATACATACATACATACATACATACATACATACATACATACATACATACATACATACATACATACATACATACATACATACATACATACATACATACATACATACATACATACATACATACATACATACATACACATACATACATACATACATACATACATACATACATACATACATACATACATACATACATACATACATACATACATACATACATACATACATACATACATACATACATACATACATACATACATACATACATACATACATACATACATACATACATACATACATACATACATACATACACTACATACATACATACATACATACATACATACATACATACATACATACATACATACATACATACATACATACATACATACATACATACATACATACATACATACATACATACATACATACATACATACATACATACATACATACATACATACATACATACATACATACATACATACATACATACATACATACATACATACATACATACATACATACATACATACATACATACATACATACATACATACATACATACATACATACATACATACATACATACATACATACATACATACATACATACATACATACATACATACATACATACATACATACATACATACATACATACATACATACATACATACATACATACATACATACATACATACATACATACATACATACATACATACATACATTCATACATACATACATACATACATACATACATACATACATACATACATACATACATACATACATACATACATACATACATACATACATACATACATACATACATACATACATACATACATACATACATACATAGCTCTGCCCTGAAAGGAAGCCCCTGGAAGGAAAACAAGTCTTCTGGACGTCATATCTAAATTAGGAATTGGCTTCTGGAATGTGAGAACCATGTTTGAAAACGGCCAAAACCGCCCAAGTAATTAAAGAAATGCAGAACTACGAACTGCATATTCGTGGAATCAGTGAAAGCAGGTGGACAGGGTTTGGACAATCCCCAACAGGTACAGGAGAAACCATAATATACTCTGGAAGAGATGATAACCTACATTTTGCAGGCGTGGCACTCATTTTAAAGGAAGGTATGCACAAACATCTCATCGAGTGGCATCCAATCAATGAAAGAATTATGACAGCACGATTCAATAGGAAACATGCCAAACTTACAATCATACAATGCTACGCACCGACTAATGAAGCTGAGGACGAAGATAAAGAAACATTCTTTAGGAGACTGCAAGAGGTAGTAGATAAAGTACCAGCCCATGATATTATATCCATTATGAGAGATCTCAATGCAAAAGTTGGTGACAACAACTTGGATAGAGAATTATCAATGGGAAAACATGGATGTGGTACAATTAATGACAACGGAGAAGACTGAGTGACTTCTGCACGGAGAATAGACTTGTTATAGGAGGAACACTGTTCCCTCACAAGAATATACACAAGCTTACATGGATATCTCCAAATGGAAGAGATGTAAACCAGATCGACTATTTCATGGTGAAAAGAAAATGGCGTGGGTCCCTATTCGATGTGCGTGTCAAAAGGGGAGCAGATGTGGGTAGTGATCATCACCTCGTAGTTGCACTACTACGACATAAACTGAAAAAAGTTCACACACGAGCTAAGACACAGACAGCACGCTACAATGTCAACCTTTTTGGAGAAAAAGACATTGCCACAAAATTTATAGTAGAACTCAAAAACAGTTTTCAAACTCTATCAAGTGGCCCAGACACTTCAGCTACAATCAGCATTCAAGACAGATGGAACCAGATCAAAGAAGCATACAAAACAACCAGCAACAACATATTAGGAACCAGGAAACAACACCACAAAGAATGGATAGGTAGTCAAACCATGGACTATATTGCCAAGCGAAAAAGAATAAAGAGCGTCATAAATCACACTAAATCCGAACGTTAGAAAGACAAACTAATGTTAGAATATAGCGAACTAAATAAAATGGTAAAGAAAAGTGCCAGAGCTGACAAGAGAAGATTAATGGAAAATCTAGCAGAAACAGCAGAAAATGCTGCTAAAGCACATGATCTACAAACCCTACACAAAATTACCCAACAAATGTGCGGAAACAAAAGCAATAACCACAGAATGCGCATCAGAGATAATCAAGGCAAACTCCTTACCATAGAACACAAACAAACTATGCAGTGGACTAAACACTTTTCTAACCTCTTGAAGACCTGATCCTGAACATTCCCCAGATATTCACCCAGCCACTCAGGACCTTGACATTATTATTAAACCACCAAGCAAACAAGAAATCCTTAAACCTATCCACACTTTAAAGAACAACAAAGCACCAGGCAAAGATGAACTGCCAGCAGAACTGCTCAAAGCAGATCCCAACACAACTGCTCTGAATGGATAGAAAGCATTCGGAAATCGCACTTAACCTACGTAACCCGGATCTACACACCGGGTCAAGCGGGCGTGAAGGGAAATGAGCGAGCGGACCAACTGGCAAGCACTGCACTAATGATTGCGGGAAAAGCATTTACAGAGCAGACATAGTCAACGCTGTACGAACTGGACTAGTGGAGAATGAGGTCTCCCTGACACTAACACGATTGCGTGACATGGGAGTTAAGCATGGAGATGCACGTCTTTGCCGTCTTCGAGGCTGAGATAGAAGACAATATAACCAGCTTCTCATGGGGACAATTAGTAGAAGTACTTTGGAGTGGCTGCTGCTTCGGAGAAATGAGCACGCATGGGTATGCCCAATGTGCAGTGACATCAATTGTGATAACGAAACATAAAATAACATCTTGTAGGAAGTCAGCAGTCCGAAACCCAAGTTCAAGGTGTCTCCTTCGTGCCAAAGAACTGCAGGGCTGTTGGGTGAACAGCAGTTAACGAAGGCAGGCAGGTCGTTGTAGGGGCGACGCTTGCTGGTGGATGTAATGTCCTAAGTCCCTTCCCCAGCTAACAATGAGGGTACTGCTGAGGTGACCGTTTATTAACCCTCATATAATGCTTCAGGTCAAAATGGACGCTAGGCACGGCCACCTATTGTTGTTTTTTTCCTTCCAGACGGTGGCCGTTGCATTTTTGCTCCATTTGTAGACTGGAAGGATATAGTTTCGTCGCCCAGCTTCTGAGTTGAGTGCATGACGTGACACTGTGAGCTAAGTGTATTTTTCGTTGGCACAGGAGCGGAGCAACTATGGGGTGACCCGTTTGCTATGAAGCTGAAACTAGGATTACCAGATTACTGCTAGAATTTTAGAACATTGTTTAAGAATGTTTGGGAAAAAGAAGTGTTGCCTGATGATTGGAAGAAACAATAGTACAAATCCCTTTAAAAAAAGCAGATTTAACAGACTGCAATAATTGGAATGGGATTACGCTACTCTCAGTACCAAGCAAAATGGTTTGTAAAATCATCATAATGCGACTCGAAAAGGGAGTAGATAAATGCCTACAAGTGGAATAAGCAGGATTCAGAAAGAACAGAGGAACAACTTAATATATCTTTACTCTACATAACATTTTAGAACAATGCAATGAATGGCAGAGAAGTGTATATATTAATTTTGTGGACTTCGAGAAAGCTTTCAATAGCGTCCATAAAGAAAGTCTCTGGAAAATATTACCACATTATGGAATTCAAGAAAATATTAACACATTATGGAATTCAAGAAAATATTAACACATTATGGAATTCCAGAAAAGAGTCAGCATAATTGTAATACATCTTTCCCAGTAAAGACAGGTGTAAGACAAGGATGTGTTATGTCATCCCTCCTCTTTAACCTTGTGATTGATTGGATACTAAAGAACACAGTAGACAGGATATTGAGAGGCATACGATGGACTCCATTCACCATGCTTGAGGACCTTGATTTTGCAGTTGCACTCCTATCACATAAACACGAACATATACCCAAAAAAAGTAACAAACTACACAGCACAGTAGAAAAAGTGGGACTCAGGATAAATGAAAAGAAAACTAAGATCATGACAAACAGTCCAAACCAACAACCAGTGACCATAAATAACCAAACACTCGAAAATGTAAAACATTTCACATATCTTGGTAGTGAGGTGTCCCTACTGGGAGGGACAGAGGAAGACATTTTGAAGGATTTTGAAGGATGAGGCAAATCTGAAAATCCAACAGTTACTGGAGAGGAACGAAACCCCCACTCTAAAAGAGCATTATTTTGCCAGTTCTTCTTTATGGAGCAGAATGCTGGAGAATGACCAAAAAGGATGCACACAATCTATCCACCTTCCACAACACATGTTTACGTAGAATTATCAAATTTTTTTGGCCAAATACAATCTCAAACACTAAACTACTTGGCCACGTCATGAGAATGAATCCTGATATACCCGCCAAAACAGCTCTCACATGGACACCAGAGGGAAAGAGAAAGAAGAGGCGCCCAAAAACCACATGGAGACGAACGATGGAAAGTGACCTGAATGTGGCATCTTTGACATGGAAAACTGCACCGAAGATTGCAAAGGACAGAAAAGCATGGAAAGTCCTATCTGAAGCCTCATGTGCCACTAGGCATACAGAGATTGCTGATATATATATATATATATATATATATATATATATATATATATATATATATATATATATATATATTAAAAGATAGGGAGAGCATTGGGGACCGGGTCGCCCATTCGCTCGCCGGTAGACGACTTTGTCGCTTATCGGTACAGTATTTAGGTCTGTATTCTTTCTTTATAGCACACATAACCTACTCATAATTATAACCTAAAGCCTATTCCACCTTCGGAAATACAGGTTAAAAGTGACCATTGATTTTTCAGCAAAGCAAAGAGAGTGTTTTATATGTTTAATAGTGTGTTCGTGTGTGTCTGTCAGCCAGTCTGTCTGTCTGCGTGTCTGTCCATAGCAACCCAACCCCACTGAACACACCTGTCTGTACACTAACTTAACTACCGCCGACAAACCTAAACGTGCTGACGCAGGGATGATTCATTAAAGCTAAACTTAGCTCCGTCTTACTGAGTACTTGATGATGTAAAATTATTCCTCATATGCGCCGAATGTGCATTGGTGGATTTTGAAGGAGAAGAGAGCAATGCTGCTATTATAATATTGTGTATCTTCTTCTGTGCGTTCTCCGGCTGTAAACTTTGGAGGAAAATTCTGGTTGTTTGTCCACTTCTGGACTCGTGTCTTATTCCAGAACTTGAGTATTGCGTGCACATTAGTTTTGCAGATCTGTCTAATGTGTGTGCAGACTGTTGGTTCCTTGCCTTTTGGGCAGATGCACTCCGACTTCAAAGGAAACTGTTTAGTCAACTCTTACGTTATGCTTGTTACGGAGGTAGTGGGTATATTCCCCACCCCTTACCCTCACAATTGAGCCGCGGAACCCGTTTGGGCAATATTGGGTGTAACAGTAATATTTTATGGGGTGAAATTGGTAGTAATGGCAGCAACAGCAGCAGCAGCAGGTGTAGTAGTAGTAGTAGTAGTAGTAGTAGTAGTAGTAGTAGTAGTAGCAGCAGCAGCAGCAGCAGCAGCAGCAGTAGTAGTAGTAGTAGTAGTAGTAGTAGTAGTAGTAGTAGTAGTAGTAGTAGTAGTAGTAGTAGTAGTAGTAGTAGTAGTAGTAGTAGTAGTAGTAGTAGTAGTAGTAGGATGAGGATAAGGATGGGGAATAGTAACTAAAGCGGTAGTAGCAGCAGTGCATATATTAGAAGAAGAAGAAGTAGTATTGGTAGTTTTGGTCGTGGTGATAGCAGAAGTGTTAGTGACTGTGGCTGTGGTGTGACTGTATTGGTACCGGTCGTAATAATATTGACAGTGGTAATAGTAGTCGTAGTTATAGTGAGGTTTGTGGCAAAGCTCTTCGTAGTAACTAAACAGTTCTGTTATAATAGCCGCACTGGTAATGGTAGTAGTGACAAGACAAGAGGAGACCGGGTTACTAACACCAGCATTAGAGAGAAAGATTAAATAAGACCATATCTGGATTATATTGACAGACAAAAAAAAGGAGTGGTTCCGCTATCTAGTGAGACTACAGCCTGACCAAACTGCACATTAGACTTTATACAGCAGAACATCTGGGAGGAAGGTGAGAGGAAGACCAAAAAGGATGTGGATAAAAGGTGTAGCGGAAACCTGCAGAAAAATGGATAAATCCACCACCCTAGCCACCAGAGAAGCGCAAGACAAGTAAAGAAAACCGCGACATTAGGCTGCAAGCTCGTATCAGTGAGCCGACAAAGCCATGACACTGGGCTACAACCTGGTCTCAGTGAGACGACAAAACCACAACACTGGTCTACAAGCTGGGATCAGTGAGACGACAAAACCACGACACTGGGTTACAACCTAGTATCAGTGAGAGGATAAAACCACGACACTGGGCTACGACCTGGTATCAGTGAGACGACAAAACCACGACACTAGGTTACAACCTGGTATCAGTGTGACGACAAAACCACGACACTAGGTTACAACTTGGTGTCAGTGAGACGAAAAAACCACGACACTAGATTACAACCTGGTATCAGTGAGACGACAAAACCACGACACTAGGTTACAACTTGGTGTCAGTGAGACGACAAAACCACGACACTAGATTACAACCTGGTATCAGTGAGACGACAAAATAAAAAGAAGAAGACGATAACTGTAGTGACCCTCGTGTTGGTGGTAGTAGTGAGGATCAACATCATCATTATCATCAATCAGCAGATCTTACGGCAGTCACTTGAAGTATCCAGCGTATCTGACTCAGTTTGTGACTGGAATCACTGGCATAGGCGGTTGAGTAATTATGGGCCAAGCTCGTTTGCTGTCATGCCGTAACCGTAACTACTAACTAACTAACAGATCATTACAGAACGTCACTTACCTCACGACACATCTGAATGTCTCCCATTCTCTAACCAATTCTCTAGCCCTATGTGCTTTCAAAGCCAATGCATCTTCAATGTTCTGTACCCAGCTTCGCAGAGGTCTGCCTGCCTAATTTTCTCGAAATGCTACCCTCCAACACAGTTCTCGCAAGGCCAACATGACGTTGAGCACGGATAAAATACCTTAACTTTTGGCACAGGATGCTGTTTGTGGGCCATCATGATGTCGCGATATCGAGTTGTCGAGTATGTCCTTCTGTCTTTCTACTTCTTTCTCCGAGTGCCGCTTAATACATTGTCTCTTTGTAAATTATATATATATATATATATATATATATATATACAAATATATATTTATATATATTCTATTTTTAAGTATTTAGAAACTATGAATTGTAAACGGCTGGCCGGGTACTATGGATATCTCAATCCTTTGGCATTTATTCCATTATAGGTATCGTAAATCTAGGAGACATTTGGCTTCTCTACCTACCCCCTGGAGTGAACCCGAACCACCCGGCCGCCGCGAAGTCAGCTTTAACAAGTTACGCTAGAGAGCCGGGCGTATGTATAGATATTCAAAGCAATGTTTCCCCGTTATAAATTTGAACACGTAAAATATTTATATACACACACACACACACACATACAAACACACATATATATATATATATATATATATATATATATATATATATATATATATATATATATATATAAAAATCAATGTTTGTGTGTTTGTTTGGTCTCTATAGACTCGGAAACTACTGAACCGAGGACTATCTCGACGTCGGCGCAGACAGTGACTGCGACATTAACTTCATTAACCGTGTTAGACACGTGCGATTTCTATTTCATTAATATATCTGGAGTATCTGTCTACGAGAAAACAATTGCCTGCGGTTATGAATTGTGTTTTAATCCCGACACAGTGGTAGGGACACATATGTCTAATAGTTGTGTTCTCTTTTTGTTGTTCCGATTAAGTGGACAGTAACTGCTTTACCCACTTAAAGTAGCAGCAGCAGTAATAGTTGTTACACCAGGGCTGTTACACCATAGTGCTCTCATGTGAAGACCGCCGGTGAGGTTATGGCGTTCTTCTGTCGGCAAATGAAATTATACATCCTAACCTGACCAGTCTGTGGCGACAGCACTAGCTATGCGGAACCAAATCTTCTGGCTCACGACTCTCTGTCTACTCCGATGGTAACACAGATAGCAGTGACATTATTTTATTAGTTGTACTGGTACTTGAAGGATGATGTGGTAAATATTACACTAGCCCTATTCACTACCTTTTACAATTCCTGCTCCCTATTTTAGTCCAGATGGACAGGGATGTCAATGTCAGTTACAGCAACAACAAAATATCGCCAGTTAGTGATTTTCAAATCCTTCGAAGAGGGAGAGAGCAGTAGTCGGTGGAAGAGGGGAGGGGGTAATGACTTAAATTTAAGAGAAATTAAAGAGCTTTACATTTGATTTTCAAGTTCTCATTGCCTATTTTGTTTATATTTTACTAACGCTACCCTCCGCGTTTCTATTTTTTACGACTTACTTTGTTATTCACAAGTACAGGTTGTAGCTTTACTTCCGTCTCCTATAAAAATACAAACGCTTTAGCATGTGATAACCAAATAACCCATTTTTGTTACTGTGCTAATAACACCATTTAAACGACCACTAATATAAAAACACAATTATAAGGTGCGTGTTCTAAAGTTGGAAAACCAGACTATCGCTATATCCGTGCAGAGAATGATTGCGACATTAACTGTATTAGACACGTGCGATTTCCATTGTCTTTCTTTTCCAAAAACCTTTGATGAGGGAGATAGTAGTAGGTGGATTTAGTTGTGGTGGTGGGCGGGGATCAAAGACTATCTCTATATCTGAGCAGACAATGATTGTATTAGACACGTGCGTTTTCTATTTTCTTTCATTTCCATTTAGCCAAACTATGCCACAGCAACGCGTGGCCGGGTACAGCTAGTATATATATATATATATTTATATATATATATGTGTGTGTGTGTGTGTGTGTGTACGGCTTCAAGGGTTAGCCTCTGTATTTATTAATATGAATGACGTGTAACACAATGGAACCTACCAATCAAATGTCTTTCCTAAATGTTTGTGTATTCTAAACAAAGCTTTACGGTCTGCTGTGCTTGTAAATTGTTGCTGTGTTTGTTATTCCACCTATGTTACGGTAATATAAAATTCTGTAACCTATGGTG